TACGTGAATATGAACAAATTGTGCCTTAATTTGCATTCACCTAAAAGGTCCTATTATACAAAAAAGCAATCTATTAAAGGGATAGTTCACTTTGAAATTAATTTTTGATATGTTTTAGCTTACCTCAAGGGCATCCAAGATGTAGGTGTCTTTGTTTCCGCAGTATTTTCAATTTTGATGTTTTAAGGTCAAACCGTTCCCGTCTATCAGTCATATAATGGAGGTCTATGGTCACCACCTCATAAAACATGATTTAATGACTCATAAGTACACATTGATGGCCTAAGACACGAAACGAGCAGTTTGTGTGAGAAAACGAACAGGATTTATATCGTTTTTATCATTTTTCACTTGTAACCACAGCCACGTCCAAGTGATCTGAGGGCTCGGGCGCTTTGTGGCTGTGATTACAAGAGGTAAAAATGATATAAATACTGTTCGTTTTCTCAAACAAACCGCTCGTTTCGTGTCTTGGGCCATCAATGTGTACTTACATTTACGCGTCATTAAATCATGTTTAATTTGGACTTCTCTGTGCATGCTCTTTGAGGTGGTGACCATAGACCTGCATTATATGACTGACAGACAAGAACGGTTTGACCTAAAAATATCATAATTGAAACTACTGCGGAAACGTGAGGTAAGATAAAACATATCAAAAATTAATTTCAAAGTGAACGATCCCTTTAAGCCACGGGGCAGCAAGACACACTTCTAGATAGTACACACAACCTCACCTCAGCAGGATGGCCCTGTACATAGGCCACTTTTGCCAGCAGACTAAGACATTGGCAGGCTTCAGGGTGAAGGTCATCACACACGCGGCTGAAGAGGTACGCCGCTTCTTTCAGCTGCTCGTACGCCTGCTCCAGTAACCCTACGAGGAGAACGCGGTCAAGCGAGGCAGTTCACACATGACTCAATCACTGCACGTTGGTTTATAACTACCTTTCTGAAGACTGTTCTGAGCCACCTTGAACATGCATGTGGCGTCGGTGGTTGACATGGTTATGTGTTTGACGACGGGCAGAATGTTGAGCACATCGTCCGGAGAGATGGCCGCTTTGTTACGGTTGTCAAGAATGTATTCTCTGAGGCGGAGCTGCGGGACATTCACAAACAGAAAGGGTTTTTCCTATGACATATGCAGAAAAATCCCAGCACAGAGACACCCTACAAGCCTCTCTCGCTCACTAAGGCTGCATTTATTTGATCAAAAATACAGTAAATAATATTACAATTTAAAATAGCAGTTTAATTTATTCCTGTGATCAAAGCTGAATTTTCAGCATCATTACTCCAGTCTTCAGTGTCACATGATCCTTCAGAAATCACTCTAATATGATGAGAAACATTCTTATTATTATCGATCTTAAAAACAGTTGTGCACATATATTTGTGGAAACCATGATACATGTTTTCAGGATTTTTTGATGAACAAAGTTCAAGAGAACAGCATTTATTTGAAATTGAATCTTTTGTAAGATTACAAATGTCTTTACTGTCAATTTTGATCAGTTTTTGATCCTTACTGAATAAAAGTATTAATTTCTATTAAAAGAAAACCTTACTGACTCTTTTTGAAAGGTAGAACCTGAGATGCTTTTAAAATACATTTTGTTAAGAAATAATATATATTATTTATTTATTTATTTATTTTATAATTTATGCTATATGTTCCTAGTTATATGTACTAAAATAAGGATTTGCATTTGTTCTTTGTTCATGTATATTATTTTGTGATGCTGGCTTGGCAATAAACAAAAAATAAAAATAAACTTTTGAAATTTGTTAAACCTACGAGATAAACCTGCTATCCAAGCATACTCTAAGAATTTATATATATATATATTTATATATATATATATATATATATATATATATATACACATACACACACACACACACACACACACACATATATATATATATATATATCATCTGTATTTGCCCCTTTACAGGGCAATTTAAGTAGCTTCAACCTCACAAACATACACATTTTATAAAACAAGAAGAAAATTAATAAATTTAAAAAAAAAGACAGCAAAACATCACAAAAAACCCCAGGCATTTATGATAAATCTTCATATATATCATATATATATATATATATATATATATATCATCGTACTGTAATTAGTATTATATAATTTTATATATATATATATATACATATATACATATATATATATATATATATATATATATATATATATAATTATACAATAATGATTACGCCACCAAACATATTGCAGAAATATTGTTGTGTTCTTTCACATTTAGCCATTGCTTGGTTCAACGCAGTACCTGAATACCAGTCTTCAAGCACATCTCTCTCAACAAGCACATCTTCTGGAGGCCGTACTGCTCTACTAGATGGTCCACATTTGACCTGCAAGAAAATGGGACTTCATGAAGTCAGTGAAAGGGTTAAACATATGAAGAAGAGTGAATGTTCTCCGCTCACCCTAGTCCTTCTTTAAGTCTGTATGTTTCTTGAGCATCTTGACAGATCTGACTCCACAGTTCATTCCCACTGAGTGAGGTCCATGCCGTGCTGTCCGAAGCCCCTCCTCCTCCACGGCCACGCCTCCTGGAGCGCTTCTTAGACTCCTCCCCATTTGACGCTGAACTGAAGTGAGGCACCAATAAGCAGCAGAGGAAATGACTCGCTGCTGCAGACAGGTTAGACGTTTCCACTCCCTGTACAGCACAACAGACACCATTTTTTACTCATTTCATTGAACAAAACCAAGGTCTGTTTATAAATTGGATATATAAGCATGTCTAGCTACAGAATAGTTGCACAGGGCGATATATATGTTCTAATCTACATTGTTAAAAGCGCAAAACATTAACATAATGATTTTCTGTGAAGCTGCAATGAAACGATGTGTATTGCGCAAAGCGCCATATTTATATAAATTTGACTCGACTAAGTAAAATGAAATACCTGAATGTAGCCACTGAAGAAGCGTTGTGCACAACGCACTACAATCTCTGCAAACGCCAACCTCTGAGAGAGATGGTAAATAGGATTAGGACAGTTCACATTTAAAATCTACCCCAGTATAATGGATTTAAAAACATTTTCTTACCGTGATGTGTCTCAGTTGATGTTTGAGATCTGATTGGCTGATGGAGAAGATCAGGTGACCTAGATAGCGGAGGTTTATGCCTTTCTGATGGAGGGCTTGTCGTAAAGAAGCACCATCCATCGGTGTGTCGGCTCCATGAATGCAGTCGTTCATCTGAAAGTGCACGACGATACTTCAGTGCACAGTTTCTCTCACACATACACACACACATTTCTGTTGAAAATGTCAGTAAAAACTGTAATATTGTGAAATATGATGATTGTTTAAAATAACACATTATATTTAAAAATGTCATTTATTCCTGTGATCAAAGCTGAATTTGTCTTCAATGTCACGTGATCCTCCAGAAATCAATAAACATTTCTTATCATCAATGTTGAAAACAGCTGTTATGTTTAATATTTTTGTGGAAATCGTGACACATTTTTAGCTTGTTTCCACTACTGAATAAATTTTTTTTTTTTTTTAATAATTGCAACTTTTTATCTCACAATTGCGAGATATAAAGTGGCAATTCTGAGATATAAAGTCGCAACTGCAAGATATAAAGTCGCAATTCTGAGAAATAAAGTCGCAATTGCAAGGTATAAAGTCGCAATTCTGAGAAATAAAGTCGCAATTCTAAAGTCGTAATTGCAAGATATAAAGTCGCAATTCTGAGAAATAAAGTCGCAATTCTGAGAAATAAAGTCGCAATTCTAAAGTCGCAATTCTGAGAAATAAAGTTGCAATTGCGAGATATAAAGTCGCAATTCTGAGAAATAGTTGCAATTCTGAGAAATAAAGTCGCAATTCTAAAGTCGCAATTCTGAGAAATAAAGTCGCATTTCCGAGATATAAAGTCGCAATTCTGAGAAATAAAGTCGCAATTCTAAAGTCGTAATTGCAAGATATAAAGTCGCAATTCTGAGAAATAAAGTCGCAATTCTGAGAAATAAAGTCGCAATTCTGAGAAATAAAAGTTGCAATTGCGAGATATAAAGTCGCAATTCTGAGAAATAGTTGCAATTCTGAGAAATAAAGTCGCAATTCTAAAGTCGCAATTCTGAGAAATAAAGTCGCATTTTCGAGAAATAAAGTCGCAATTCTGAGAAATAAAGTCGCATTTCCGAGATATAAAGTCGCAATTCTGAGAAATAAAGTCGCAATTCTAAAGTCGCAATTCTGAGAAATAAAGTCGCATTTGCGAGATATAAAGTCGCAATTCTGAGAAATAAAGTCGCAATTCTAAAGTCGCAATTCTGAGAAATAAAGTCGCATTTGCGAGATATAAAGTCGCAATTCTGAGAAATAAAGTCGCAATTCTAAAGTCGCAATTCTGAGAAATAAAATCGCAATTGCGAGATATGAAGTCACAATTCTGAGAAATAAAGTCGCAATTCTAAAGTCGCAATTCTGAGAAATAAAATCGCAATTGCGAGATATAAAGTCGCAATTCTGAGAAATAAAATCGCAATTGCGAGATATGAAGTCACAATTCTGAGAAATAAAATCGCAATTGCGAGATATGAAGTCACAATTCTGAGAAATAAAGTCGCAATTCTAAAGTCGCAATTCTGAGAAATAAAATCGCAATTGCGAGATATAAAGTCGCAATTCTGAGAAATAGTCGCAATTGCGAGATATAAAGTCGCAATTCTAAAGTCTCAATTCTGAGAAATAAAATCGCAATTGTGAGATACAAAGTCACAATTCTGAGAAATAAAGTTGCAATTGTGAGATATTACGTCGCAATTCTGAGAAATAAAGTCGCAATTCTAAAGTCGCAATTATGAGAAATAAAATCGCAATTGCGAGATATGAAGTCACAATTCTGAGAAATAAAGTTGCATTTGCTAGATAAAAGGTCACAATTTTGAGAAATAAAGTCGCAATTCTAAAGTCGCAATTATGAGATATAAACTCGCAATTCTAAAGTCGCAATTATGAGATATAAACTCGCAATTGCGACTTATCTGGCCAAGAAAGAAAAAAAAACAAACTTTTTTCCCCTCAGAATAGTTTATATCTCATAACTCTGACTTTACAACACGCAATTTTGACTTTATATCTCACAATTCTCACTTAATATCTTGCAATTCTGACTTTATATCACGTAATTGCGACTTTATATCACGCAATTCTGAGAAATAAAATCAGAATTGTGAGATAAAAAGTCGCAATTACCTTTTTTATTTTTCATTCTGTGGCAGAAACAAGCTTCCATGCATTTTTGTTCTGGATTCTTCGATAAATAGAAAGTTCAAAAGAACAGCATTTATATGAATTAGAAACCCTTTGTAACATTAATATAAATGTCTTTACTTTTGATCAATTTAATGCATCTTTGATGAATAGAATTATTCATTTCTTTACTGTTTAAGATTTTTTAGTGTAAAAAAGCACAATATACACTCACAAATGCTGGTATTTGGTCATTAATGATGAAAGACGCTGCTTCCTTCAGTAATCTCTTCTGTAGCTCCACGGCACCACTCTCTGAGCTGGGAAACTGCACTCCTACCCAGAGAGAGAGAAAACAATATTTAAGGTCTCTAACTTTACATCTAAACATAATAACTTCTGTAACTAGAGCTTAAGACAGGTCAAGACAAATATAACGATATTAGCTCTGTTCCAAAACCTAGTAAAGCCCCTCATAATGGATTTTAAAATCATTTTCTTACCGTGATAAGTCTCAGTTGATGCCTGAGATCTGATTTCTTCTGATTTCAAGGCATTAATATTACGTTGTTGTATTATATTTATTATTTGATGTTAGGGTTTTTATATTATTATTTTTGTGTTGGCTTTGGGCAGCATCTTATCTATCCAACACATGGGAAAAATGTAAATTCTCAAGTTTTAAAAAATCCTATTAAAGACCAATTTATTCTATATTTCACTCAATATTATATGTGCATATAAACATGATGAGTCTCCCATGTGCTTCACATGAGCATTTAAAACTAGTCTCTTTTTAGGCTCCATTTCATTGAATGCTGCCTAACTAGACAGTATAGAGCAAAGAAACTCACTGGGGTTTGGAACAGAGTTTTTGTGAAGTTTGTTTTGGTGCATATTAATGGATTTGAGCTTTTTTTTACCTGGCGAGAAGACATTAGGGTTGAAACGCATCTCAAAGATGATGTCACTGACGGATCCGACATCTTTGCAAGCTCTTCTTACTGCATCTATGTTTGGAGAGTCACCTGACAACACACAAATACACACATATGATCATTGCCCTAAAACAATTGATATCAGACACCAATTCCAACATCCCGTGACAGAAAATGAACACTTCTTTTTGTTCTCACCAGATTTCATACAGTCTTCCAGTTCTCCGTTCTCCTCCATGTGAGCCTTCACTCGCTGTGTGAACTGAGAATATCTGTAATACAAAGACAAAATGTGTTTGTGAGGATGTGCACAAATAAACAAACCTAAAATCTCTGGCTTGTACATTTAAATGTGAAGTGTGTCAGTTAAACGATTTTTCAAATCTTCATATATATAAATATATATATATATGATTTGTTTCTGCCCACATAATGAGATTATGTGGAAAAATGGCATTTTGGGAGTGTTTGATTTCTCCATCATGGATCATAATGCAATAAAACTGATTGTCTTTTTGTAGTAAAACCATTTCTTAAGGTAAATGTAAGAATAATTTTTATATTGATATTAATATTTCAAGATGAACACTTGCTGGACTGAAGCAACCTAAGTTTACTTGACTATCCACACATCATATTTACAGTATCAAATATGAACCATCAGATTTTTGAGGGAATATTATTATTTGTACAGTATATGATCAAACTACAGAGATTGATCATGAAACTAAGCATTTGAATATTATTGGCAAATATAGAGCGACAACTGATATTTATATGCATTTTGGCTATACAAATATCAGCAACTGCAACACCGGCTCAACCAATGGCATTCATTTGGGGCGGGGCTATCTGTTTGCTCGACCAATGGAAGGACTTGGTAACCTGTCAAAACTCACTTGTGTTGAATGAACGCCTTGACTAACTCCGGCCGTAAGCGGCACAAAACGTGAGGGTACCGTCTGGGAAAACCGGCGTCCTTGGGTTCTGTTTCGATTCCTTCTTCTCCGTCTTCCACTTGGAAGTTGGCATCAGCAGGCATAGTACGATACACATCCAGCAGGTAATATCGCCCATCGGCCCCCAGTATCCCCTGAGCATCTACAGTGGTGAACAGGGGCAACTGATGCCCGGTCTTTCCCAGAACCGCATGTCTTTGCAGAGAAAGCGCCTTTGCCGACTGAGCCAGCAGCTCCAGGAGTTTCCGTCTGGATGGATTCTCCAGTGGCCCTGCGCTGAAGCCGTATAAAAGGCCATTGGGAATCTCAGCCTGCTCGGGGCCCTGAAGACCAGGGGCCAGGCCCTGCGCGGACAGTCGAACGCCTCGATAGTCGGCCACCGCGGTGGGGATGGTGTGCAGGTTTTGCAGGTCTCCGTCCAGGTCGCTGTAAGCCTGAACACCTCGCAGCTCGAGACGCTGAGCGGCTCTGGGACCGCGGTCTCCTGTCAGCCAGTCCTCTCTGTGCGTCGGCACACTCATGAACACCCCGCCGCATAGGAACGCCGGGTCCTCGGGAGAACCATTGACTGGGTCGACAAAACCATCGATCACCTTCTCTGCAGCCTGAGCAACAGCCCACACGAAAGCACTGTTCACCTGCCGGAACAGACAATAAGAAGTTCAGAAGTGATGTAAAAGCTACTCGGAAAATCAATGTAATGCAAAGAAATGCAACAAAATGAAATGTAAAAGCTACTTGGGAACTATGGTTTTCATTGAAATTGAATGAATTGAAAAGTAATGAAATGAAGTAAAAGAAAATAAATATTAAACAATATGTCAGGACACTCCTGTATTGTGTCGTTTAAAAAAAAATAATAATACATATATATATATATATATATATATATATATAATTTTAATTATTTTATTTTATAAATATTTATAAATTATTTTATAAATTATTAAAATTATATATATATATATATATATATATTTTATTATTATTATTTTTTTTAATATTCAGTAATGAATTGTTAAATCAGTTTTCTGAACTGGTTCATTGAACTGATCCATCTGATTCGCTAAAAGAAACTGGACTTTTGATTTGTAGTCATGTTCAATATAGTGTGACAGACAAACAGCGATGTAGATGCTTGCTGGGAAAAACTGAGAATAGCTGAGCTACTGTCACACTACTGATAAATCTACAGTAGTTAAGGTACACAGTATTGTTAGGATGATTTATGTTATGTGGGCTGTTTAGTTTCTGTCTACTTTGAGGACAGAATAGTCTACATGAGTTAGATAAGTGCGCTCAGACCTGCAGTAATGCTCGGTCCCTCTGAAGTCTCTCCTCCAGACTTCTCTGAGGAAGATCTCTGGCTGCCTGAAGTTCCTTATTCCAGTCAGGAGCCTAAAACACACAGAAGAACACATGAACATGACACACACACACAAACACACACACAGGAGGATAAGTTGGGGAGATTGGATATGCTTCCCTATTCAAAACAGAATGATTGCAAATTATAGTAAAATAATTGCATTATTTAAAGTCTTTATATTGTTTGTTTCTACATGCTAATATAACTTATTTTAATATTATAATAATTAGTGTTAAATAATATTAAATGTTTCAATTTTTACTTTATTTTATCATCTTTTAAAATATAAATGTATAATAATGAATACCTTTTCATTTTATTTCATTTTCTTTTTTAAATCTTAATTTATAATAATTACTGTTAAATAATATTGCATTTTTATATTGTTTTAATTTCATTGCAAATCCCATGAAAACACTCCAATACTTCACTCCAAAATTAAAAGAAAAATAATATTTTGTTTTAATAATTTGAAACCTATTTTAACACCTTTTTTTTTTTGTATTGTGACATTATTTTCATGACAATTAAGCACATTTTCCCCAAAAAATTCTCACTACAGTAATGCAGTTTTACTTTTAAGTTTGGTGATTGAATTTCATCTAAAACAGTAAAATTGCTGATATTAATGTATGTTCATATAATAAAATTAATTATTTATAATTTTTAAATTGATTGATAATTCATTTCAACATTAAATAGTATTACATATTATATTAAATTACATTACTACAGTTTTTTTTCTGCTTTATTGCAATAATGTTTGCCACACAGTCATGTCAAAATAGAGCTTTGCAATTGTGCACTGAAAGATGTTGAGTGTGGGACAGGTGTGTATGTGTGTACCTGTGCATTGAGGTCCTGGTCCAGACCCAGCCGGCAGCTGAAGCTGGATCTGTGTGAGTGAAGCGAGGAGACGCCAAGCCAGCTGTGTGTGAGGTACGGAGTGGGCAGCATCTCTTCAGCCGGCAGAGAGGGCCTGTGTGAACAGAGACGCTTAGAGAACCGCACCGAGGAACAGAGGAGTGTCGTGAGAGTGTGTGTGAGGGTCACCTGTGCCGCAGCGTGCCGAGGTTGTGTTTGAACTGCGGGCTGATGTGGGACAGCAGGTCGGTCAGACAGTGGCACACTGGAGTAGACGGAGCAGGACGGGGGTCAAACACATCGAGGGTCGACCTGAAACAGAAATACAGCAAACCTCTCCTTCAATCTGTCACTGTATTCCAGACACTTGAGCTTTTCTCGCAAATTCCAGAAATAAACACTGTCAGGTCACGGCATATATTTATCGGTGTCATCTTTCGATTCCGACCAACCCTGTTTCCAGAGCAAGTCGTTTAAAGGAGTAGTTCACTTTTAAAAAAACTTTTGCTGATAATTTACTCACCCCCGTGTCATCCAAGATGTCCATGTCTTTCTTTCTTCAGTCGTAAAGAAATTACGTTTTTTGATGAAAACATTCCAGGATTTTCTCCATATAATGGACTTCAATGGGGACCAAACGGTTCAAGGTCCATAAGAGAGTTTCAGTGCAGCTTCAAAGGGCTTTAAACGACACCAGACGATGAATAAGGGTCTTATCTGGGACCCTTCAAGTCATGACTCGAAAAAAGATTTGTTCATTTTGATGAATGAGTTTGAACAGGAGAGTCATGAACGCGCATCACAGAACAGAGCAAGGCGACCATTTGAGCTTATAAAACTTAATCTTTGTTATTTTTTTTTTAAATGAGCGATCGTTTCGCTAGATAAGACCCTTATTCGCCATGTGGAATCGTTTAAAGCCCTTTGAATCTGCACTGAAACTGTCTTTTAGACCTTGAACCGTTTGGTCCCCATTGAAGTCCATTATATGGAGAAAATCCTGGAATGTTTTCATCAAAAACCTTAATTTCTTTTCGACCGAAGAAAGAAAGACATGGACATCTTGGATGACATGGGGGTGAGTAAATTGTCAGCAAAAGTTTTTTTTTTAAAAGTGAACTACTCCTTTAACCCTTTCAGGGCGCGTTTTGCTTTTTTTTTTTCATAAGCTGCAACATAGACTTAAAATACTCTGTCATATAAATAAATCAATAGATGATTATAAACAATAGAGGGTTTTTCTTTTTTGTGTGTACACTCTTATTAACATCAAAACAATAAAAATGTGTTTTTGTAAAATAAATAAAATCTCCGCAAAAATCTTTCTGAAACAAGTCTGGAAAATAAACTGAAACTCAGCGAATACTTATCTCACGAACATGAAACATACGTCTAAATAATGCTTTACATGTCTACCTTTTAAATAAAACAGTTCACATTTAATCTGTATGAAACTAAAGAGAAGTATAGTTTAAAAATAAAAATAATAAATCATTTTAATAGTATGGTAGCATGCATTGTCATAATAACACAGAATCTTACTTGTTCAGGTAAAACCCACGGGGGCAGGAAGTGATGTCACACTGCTTGCCCTCCAGAGTGTGGACACTGATGTACAGGAAGTCGCCCTGCAGTTTCCGGAAACCGGGGGGAGGGTTCCAGCTGCTGAGTGACAGGTCGAGCAGGTAACTGGGAGCCTGTAAAACAATCAGTTAGTTGTGTTTATTGTGAGAGTCATATAAAACTAACTCAAATGCCTAAAGGTTTATTAGTATGGTACTTCGCTGTGTTTGTTGATGGGCAAAACGGTCGTCAGAGGAGGAGGATCTGAAACTCCAGGCAGAATGTAGGCAGGAGGGGGCGGGGCTTCAGCCGGCTGTTCTGTCTTACTATTGGCTCGTCTGTTCTTTGATGAGTGCGGAGTGGGAGGGGCTTCTAATACACACATATACACACAATTAGAGTCTCGCTAGCCTGGGTTTCCCCATACTGCCTTTACGCAGTGCGATTTTATCGAAGTCTGGATACAATGGACCAAATTTTCGCCTCATCTAGGTAGGGAACCAATCACAAGCGGGGAGGACGATGGCGACGTCGTCTATGCGTCACACCGAAGCTGTTTGTTTTTACCTATGGATCCAACATGGCAGCAGACGCGAAGTTACCTTTCGATGCAATCTTAGATATTGTTCCAAGCAGCAAATAAATCTGACCCATCGTCTAATTTCTGTCGCTCTACATACGTCATCTGGTATAATTAAAAAGATTGGCTATGATCTACATACAGGCACATTTGATAGACATTCGTAACACCCAATAAACGGCTCTGGGCAGTCGTAAACCACGCCTCAAATACGAGAAAATGAACATGTGGTTCCCAGACCACGTCTCAGTGTCAATGAGACATGTTCTGACGTCAGCCAGGCGGATAAAAATAATGAACGTATTTTAAATTATTTAGAGGCATTACTGAATACAAGTGTTTACTTTATTTCTTACCATGCGTTTGGGTGAGTGTTTTCAGTACAGTGGGTGATCGGCCCTCCATTAAGGCATCTTGGGGCCCGGCAGCTTTCAGCATCTCTTGCACTCGTGCCAGGTGAGCCTGTGCCAACCGCGGGGAGTACGGCTCTATGACACACAAAACTCGCTTTATAATACCAAAATCAGCTCCATTGATCGGCTGAATTTCAATGCGTCTCATCTTGTAAGACTCTGATGATTCTTCCAATGAGCAATAAAATCATCTATTCAATCATCTACTTTCCCACATTACTCATATTGAGTGCCATGTGACTCATTTGGCTCTGAAAAGGGTTTGCAATAAAATCAAGAAGTTGCAAAACCTGTGTAGCAAAGAAACCCACTGATCCCTGTGGAAAATCTCACTGAAACCAGCTTAAACTGGCTGCTGTGCTTTGGATCATTATAGCTGGTTTCAATAGACCAGTTACCAGCTGGTCACACTCGCTTGAGGTGTTCAAACTGGTTTGTTAGACCAGCAATAAACCACAAAATCGTTTCTGCCCAATGATTTTTCATGAGGTTTATGATCAGTGAATAAGCTAGATACTGGAACAGTGTTGATATTGTTAACTAATTGCTTTAACAGTTGAAATGACCTACAATATAAATATTAGATGAAAATCTTAAACTCACATATATAAACAAATAAAAAGGACTAAAACCTAAAATAAAATTTAGACTGAAAATCTAAACTCCAATTCAAAATATTAATAAATCCCATAATAGTATATAAATAACCAGATACATTAAAAATGCAGAAACATTCAAAATGAGTTTGGAAACAGGTTCAACTGATTCATTCAAACTTATTCAAATAAACAATTCACTCACAAATCTGACATTTTATAGTGTAAGGCTCGTGAACAGGTTTTACAGTAAACTTGAGCAATATCTAGCCAGTGAAATGTTTTATAACTACAAAAACATTTATATTTACAATTGGAATCCTTGAATCTCCACAATTACCTCTTCAGGCCAGAAAAAACACAACATTCCCTGATATTTCCAGGTTTTCTGTCCTTACCAGTTTCAACTGAGAACAGCTGGATTTTGGAACATGGTAGATGGCCTAAGATGGTCTAAGATGGTCTAAGATGGCCTAAGATGGCCTAAGATGGTCTAAGATGGTCTAAGATGGCCTAAGATGGCCTAAGATGCCCAAGATGGTCTAAGATGGTCTAAAAAATGGTCTAATTTGGCCTAAGATAGTCTATGCCCTAAGATGGCCTAAGATGGCCAAAGATGGTCAACCAACGTTTACCAACTAAAAACCAACAGCTACATTCTAAAACATTCTTACAGGTTTATCTAGATTCCTCACCAAGTATCCTTATATCCATGTATCTAAGGGTCTAAGAGGGTCTAAGATGGTCTAAGATGGTCTAAGATGGCCTAAGATGGCCTAAGATTGTCAACCAACGTTTACCAACTAAAAACCAACAGCTATATTCTAAAACATTCTTACAGGTTTATCTAGATTCCTCACCAAGTATCCTTATATTTATGTATCTAAGGGTCTAAAAGGGTCTAAGATGGCCTAAGATGGCCAACCAACGTTTACCAACTAAAAACCAACAGCTACATTCTAAAACATTCTTACAGGTTTATCTAGATTCCTCACCAAGTGTCCTTATATCCATGTATCTAAGGGTCTAAGAGGGTCTAAGAGGGTCTAAGATGGTCTAAGATGGTCTAAGATGGCCTAAGATTGTCAACCAACGTTTACCAACTAAAAACCAACAGCTATATTCTAAAACATTTTTACAGGTTTATCTAGATTCCTCACCAAGTATCCTTACAGTATATCCATGTATCTAAGGGTCTAAGAGGGTCTAAGATGGTCTAAGATGGCCTAAGATGGGCTAAGATGGGCTAAGATGGTCAACCAACGTTTACCAACTAAAAACCATCAGCCACATTCCAAAACATACTTACAGGTTTCTCTGGATTCCTCACCAAGTGTCCTTATATCCATTTATAACATAAGTAAGTCTATCAGAAGTAAAACATCCCACATGGAAGATCTTGCAGTTTACCTTCCACTAAACGGAGAGTGACTCCAGCTTTGAAGCCCTTGACGCACCGGAGCTCAGTCATGGGGTCAAGGGTCACGCCTGAAAGGGCCAGAGCGATGGATGTGCGAGGTGCCACCTCCTCTCTGCCCAGTACGGTCATGATGGCATCCTGGACCAGCCAGAATCCATGAACCTGCAGAGAAAACCCAGTCTAAGCATTTATCCAACATTTCAGCTGAATTATACGTGCTTTGCATATTTTGGTGTTCTGTTGACAGACATATTTGAAAAGATTTGCATTGCTGAGCAACACAAACTAGACTACTAAATTTGAGGTTACACCCCAAAACTCACTTCATTCACGGACGTATGTTTGACTAGCGGTGATGATGAAAGCTCACCTGCAGCTCAAAGGACTCGACACCTGCACCCTGAACCTTCACAGGAAATGACCCGTCATCATCTTTTCTCCCCTTCTCTGAACATGAGACATCTGCAGAGTGAAGGGGGGGTAAAGCTCAAATATGTGCTTCAAGCCAAAACAAGACTTACATAAGAGAGAGTTAGGAAATCTGTTCAAATGCCACGAAAGAAACTGAAGAAAGAACAATAAAGGTTTTCCATGCTAGAGTCCACTAACCATGTTTTTTTTTGGACACGTTGCCATGGCAGTTCAATGTTTTATGGATATGTACTATAATAATACCACTATATTATTTAAAGTACTTTGGTGTACCACATACATTCATTTATTACATTAGGGCTGGGCAACGATTAATCGGGATTAATCTTATCTAAATAAAAGTTTGTGTTTACATAATATATGCGTGTGTAGTGTGTATAATTATAATTAGTTTATATATATATATATATATATACACATACACACACATGCATGTATATATTTAAGAAATATTTGCATGTATATATACTGTGTGTATATTTATACATAATTGAAATATTAATAACACATTTTTCTTAAATATATACTTGCATGTGTGTGATTTTTTTATATACAAAATAATTATACACAGTAGTTACACATTATGTAAACAAACACAAACTTTTATTTTGGACACGATTAAAAACCAAGTTTATTTAATCATTTTATCAAGTTATCATTTTATACCATTGTATACAGAGTGTGGACATAAATATTCAAAATTAAACTAAATTCAAAAGATTGGTTTATCTTCCTGTAAAAAAAATCCAAACATCCAATGCAATAACTAAAATATTTTTAACATACAATTTTCAAGACGTGTTTCTGTTTTTATTTTTCTTCTTCATTTTTTTTATATTCTTGATTGAATTATTGTTCAATTTTTGAGGAAACAAATTGAAAAGAAAAAGCCCAATAAGGTAAGAAAAAAATGTCAATATTAAACCTAGTTTCGTCATGTATACTACTAAATAAATAAACAACTAAATAAATAGAGAACAAATGTTGAAAGGTTTTTGTAAATAAATCAATACCTAGTCACACAATTTATCTACAAATCAACAAAACTAATTTCATAAGAAACAAATTCAAATCATATTAGGTTTCCTAACTTTGACTGGTAGAGTATATGAAATTAGCACAGTAAGGGTCAGATGCATGTGACTGAAATCATATAAAACCCCACAGATGTCTCCATCTGACATCCATTCAAAAAGTCAAAGCTCTTGTTGGATTTGTAGGCAAGTCGAAGTTCCCTAATAATAACAGCAAGACTCGGCTTGATACGACATGAGCTTGTCCAGACATCTTCCAAATTTCCCCCTGGCTAGAGTGAGAGCAGATAGCGAGCACTGGATGAGTGGCTATAGTACTACTACACCACGCTTTGTCTGAGACTCGTCTGGACATCGTGAAGGAAAACTCACTCTTACAAACATCAAACCGCTTGAGCGTGTCACGACGGCTTTCAGGACGAGACGCATCGTCGCTCTTCTACAGCACAAACACTATTGTTCAAGCTATGGGTCACGTGTACTTCACAGGTCATGCTAAATATAAAGCTTGTAAACCAACGTTTGATCTGTGGCTATGAAGGAATGCATTTAATCAAAGTATAATGAGTTAAATGGAACTGGGTGTGCACTTTTACCATTAGCCATTAATTAATCAAAAATGATTTAATAAACAAACACATGTGAATGAGGATTCAGCACAGTTGAAGTTTGTATGGACCTGTCACTCAGTTTTATGATAATTAGCTTCTAGTAACTAGTCATTTAGCAGATTGTTGGACAGTTAAATATAGAATAACGATGATGATTTCCACAGAACTGGAACATTCGTTATAAATTTCTGCACCAGCCTTTTTGTTTATCAAACATTTTAGCTAATTTAATTAATGTTTCAACTACCAAAAATATAAATGAAATGTAATTGTCCCTACAGGCCCAAAAAATCGCATTCTGACCATACTACGCTCTAAAAATTGCTGGGTTGTTTTAACCCAACTTTGGGTCATATATGGACAAACCCAGCCATTGGGTTACATTATTTAATCCAATGTTTGGGTTTGTCCATATTTGACCCAAAATTGGTTTAGAACAACCCAGCATTTTGAGAATGTATTATACAAGGGCTGTCAAATTGAGAAATCCCGATTAATCGCATCATATGTGAGTATCATATATATTATACAGTATATAACATTTTTGGGCTGTCAAATCAATCGGGATTATTGGCATATAACACAAAAAAGTTTGTGTTTTGGTGTGTATAATACATTCAAAATTGGTTACCTCATTAAAAAAAAATTCAGTGATTAGAATTGTGTTTACAATTGTCATGGAAATAGTGTTAAAATGGCAAAAATCTTAAAGGTTCTAAAAATAGGCTCTTTTCTTGAGAAAAAAAGATGCATTTAAACTAAAAATAAGATACACACCCATGCAGGACTCAAACCTACAGCTTTTCTGTTGCAACCCCACTACACCAAGAAATGATTTGAAACGTTTAGGGGACACCTTAGGACACGAGTGTTGATTATAACATATCAAGTTATGCTGAAGTTGAACAAAAACACATCACCCCTGCCTCGACAAGCACTGGATGAGGTTGCCTCGAGAGTGAAGGGTTCTGGAGAAGTGACTTGCATTTGCCCCGAGTGTTTGAAAGACAGGAATGTGTGCGTGTGTGAGATCCTACCCGATGCCATGAGGAATCTCGCAGATGAGATGAGCCTCTTTAGCTTTAATTACACGTGTGTCTGTGAGTGAAAGAATGACAGAAGGCAGGAACAGTGGGAGGACGCATAGATCAGGAGGTCAAGAGTGAAGGTTGCTGATTGTTTTGCATCGAGAGAAAGTTTCATTCTAAATCTCATCAAGTTGTTTTAATGCATTATTTCATTTTTTCTAACTGTATGCACGAGTCATTTCGGACAAACCGCAAAGGAATGCATGATCCAAAGCGCCAGGACAATGCAGGAAACATCAGGAAGAAGTTCAGAGGGAGGAGACAGGACTGAATCAGAACAAGGCAACTCTTACCCATAGCTTTCTTCTCTCCGTTTCCTTTCTTCACCGCGTCCCTCATTTCTGTTTCTCTCTCGGTTTGGTTAGGTTAGCTGCTGGTTTTTATCTTTTCGTCGGGTTCAGTGCAGTGTGTTTGGAGAGCTGTCAGGTATGACTGACCCAACACGTCTTTTTAGTTTCTGGTTCCCTCGACCGGCCACTCCCTCCTCCAGCGCTGGCAGTGTTTCCCAGTCCTCCTCCGCCCACTCGGCCTACAGCAGGGCGGGCGTGTTCCTCTGGGCGTGCCGCCGCCGCTTCACTCCATTTTGCACGAGATTAGTGAGCGTTTTACCCTCCCCCTCTGACTTCCCTGAGGCCAGGGAGGGATCCCACACACACTTCTACACACACACACTTGTTTTTATATTTTTATATTGGCTCTCCATGTGTGTAATGGTTTTTATTCTGTACAATCTGTTCTCCCCTTACCATAACTCGACCCGTAAACCTGTCCATCACACAAAACTTTAGCATTTTTACATTTTTCAAAAGCATCACTTTTCTGATTTATGAGCTGTTTTTCTCACAGGTCTGACTAAATGGCCCCACGACGACAAAATGTTCACATTTTACTATCTTTGTGAGGGACTTTGGTCCTCTCAATGTAGGTTAAACAAGAATACACACACACACCATTGAAAACAGAATGAGTGAAGCTCACTAACTATTTCAAATGCTTATAGCCCAAAATAAACATAGAAATGCATAAAATAATTACACATACAAAATTAAGTCTTTTGATAGTCTAATTACCGTATTTTCATTGCAAATAAGTGCATTTAACCTCCAAATTCTCATTAGTGTAAAAATGGAAGTGTGTGTGTGTGCGTGTGTCTATCAAATACATTTTTGTGAATTGAAATATAGCTGAAATAAAACAAAATAAAATCTAAATATTAGATAAACTAATAAAGTAAATGAACATTTGAGATTTTGGCTTTGCAACTAATTAAAAAAAAATGTTTAAACAATAAATTTAATAAATGGAAAACAAATAAAAGCTAATTCAAAATATTAATAAAAATACATAATAGTATAAAAATAACACTAAAATGGCACTGATAGGCTACCCAAGTAAATTATGAACATAATTCATGAAAATAAACAAATGTAAAAATCCTACTTTCTTTCTTGTTTACAGTTCAAAAATCTACAAATTCTTAAATCAAGATGCATGTCATGTGTTTTCTGGAATCAAATGGAAGCAAGATTATTTTTCTATCTTACACCATTTTACATATCCAGTAAATGTATTTTGATCTACGAAACTTGTGATATTTGAACTGGAAACAAGATTTTTTACAAAATACTAGGTAAGAATAAGTAATAAAAATAAAAATAAGTATTTAAAAGAAGAAATCCTCATTACCAAATGAAAAAACATTATCATTAAAATAGTGTCAGAAAATCTTAATGGTCCTAAAAATAGAAAGAACATAATTTTCTTCAAGAAAAAAAAAATGAAGGTTGTAGAATATGACCTGGGCATTTTTGTGAGATTCTCCTGCATGACTCAAAATGATGTATAGTATAGTCAGAGGAATTAGCTACTTAAGGAGAAGTGCATGTACTTGTGTGTGTGTGTGTGGGAGTAACTGATGTTCAATCCTTCACACGCCTATCCAGCTCCAATTCTTTTTTTTTTTTTTTTTTCTTTTTTTGAAGGCTTTTTTGAGTTGAGTCCTGCAGCAACACCGGCCTGTTTCATGCACACCTCACTTATGAAACATCTCAGCGCTGCTGCACTATCTCCCCCAGCAGCTTCAAAGTTGTGAAATAAAATCACAGCAACAAAAGCAGCACTTGAGTAGACGCCATCTCTCCTGTCACACAAGACACTTCAAAGTGAAGAAGAAACAATCCATCTTCTCACTAATTCACTTTCTGCGTGTGTGTATCAGCAGCGCTCGAAAGAAGGGCGGGGGCCGGTGTTAGAAACTCACTTGACAAGTACAGAAATATTCAAGAGATCTTGTCTTACTCCCTATGACCTCTAATAGTCTACATAACATAGTTTATTACTTTTAAACTCTATGTTACAGTCATTGAAAGTGAGAGCCAGACATCTTAGACTTTATGCAGGCCTTTATCAAATCTATACAGTACATACATACATACATATATATATATATATATATCTATATATCTATATATGAAGAGTTCAGATGCAAAAGCCTCTAAATGCCATTTGAAATTTTCTTCTTTAATGATGATTTTTATCAAACTTGTATATTTAAGTTCAGTGATTTCACTTAAATGGCAATGATAATTACCTATTAATTGTTGTTTAAGTGAAATTACTGAACTTAAATATACAAGTTTGATAAAAATCATCATTAAAGAAGAAAATTTCAAATGGCATTTAGAGGCTTTTGCATCTGAACTCTTTATATATATATGTGTGTGTGTGTTTACATGTTTGTGTATACAGTATGTATATATGTGTGTGTTTAAATGTATTATATATATATACACACATACATGCATGCATACATATATACATACATATGTGTGTGTGTATATAATAGTAATGAGAGATTTAATTATCATGAAAATAATGTCAATGCAAAAAAGAAAAAAATTAATTACTTGGACTAAAAAACTGAAATAAAAATGTAAATGTTAAACAATATTTTATTTAAGCTTGTTGTGAAGGCAACATTTCATTTCATTTTCATTTAGTTTAACTTGATATACTAAAATAACAAAAAAATAAAAAATAAACTAGACATTTTAAAAAACAAAAAAAAGGTTTTGAATGTACCAAAAATGTTAAATATCAAAATGACTAAAATCAATAATATATTTAATCCAAATGCTAAATAAAATAAAAATATTAATAAAAACCATAAAAGCAAAAAAAAAAAAAAAAAAAAAACACAAAATCACGAAAATGTTAAATATCTAAAGGACTAAAATCAATAATATCTTTAATCAAAAGGCAAAATAAAAAAAATATAAATATTAATAAAAACTATAAAAGCATCTCAATGAACATAAAATAACACAACACAAATCCTTTTCTTCATCATCACCAAAATGGAGAAGAAAAAAAAAACAGATTGTTCACAGATTTAGACCGATTTATGAACAATATTATGCTCATATAATAGCTCATGAAAAATGGAGGCAAAAACAAAAGTTTTACGTTTATAATTACGGTTTAATAATTATGTATATGATGACTTTTGTTTTGTAAAGGCTTGATTGCCAAAATTATAAATCTACATTTACACATTTGTCAGATGCTTTAATCACAAAATATTGTTTATCCTACTGTTTGAGCTGGATGAATGCTATAATGTTTATAAACTAATTTTTTTAGTATAGTAAAACAATATGTATATTTCACAAGCACAATTTTGTGGAAGTGAAATCAGAATTACACAAATACAGAACACAAGACAGGAAAACCAAGATTAGTCAATTTGTAACACACACACAAACAAAAATTGCACCTGTCTTATAGTCCAACAGATGAAAATAATGCATTAATAAAATACCGGCACACCTTTCCTCAAAAACAACACATTTATACATTTATAAATGTACACATTTATACATTTATAAATGTAAATGTAATGAATTATAACACATGATTTGAAAATCTTAAAACACACACACACACACAACCTTAATAATTTTACTGTCACTAACATTAAGAGCAACTGACCGTACGCTGTTAGCAAACACTCAGTGGTGTGATAAAGGCAAGAAGAGACAGCATGGAGACACAAGGTTGGTTAAAAAAAGCAATTTATTTGTTCAGGTGTTACGATCTGTGAAGATACGTTTACAAAAGTCCCGTGTCCACCCAGATGCCTCATGGGAAGCTGACATTTACGCTGGAATTCTTTATCAGTCCACAGAGTAATCCATCCGTGAGACGTGTCAGAGAACGAGGCACAAGCAGGAAGATATCCTGTTCATTACAAGTGTCTTACGGCACACCTACAACATGTGGTCAGACAGGTCAAAGGTCACCGAGTCAGATCGGTGGCCAGATTTTACTGACCTTTGCATGAAGAGACTCAGGGATCCACTGACAATACGCTGCCATCAGATCTACAAGGACAAGATAAAGACTTTTAGGTGAAGTTTAATGTTTTTGTTTAATGCTCAGGCTGCAATGATCTGATCAAAAATACAGTAATATTGTGAAATATTTTTACAATCTGTGATCAAATCTGACTTATCAGCAGTCTTCAGTGTCACATGATCCTTCAGAAATCACTATTCTTATTATTATCAATGTTGAACACATAGACTATTTTTGCTGAATAGAAAGCTCTAACGAACAGCAATTAAATCGAATTATTTTGTAACATTATAAATGTCTTTACTGTCACTTTTAATCAATTTAATGCACCCTTGCTGAATAAAAAAAGTTATTTCAATAGTAAAAAAGTTATTTCGCGTAAAATCTCACTGACCCCATGAAGACCCTTTGTTTTACACTTTTATCTTAACCAGTAGCCATGTTTCCTTCCACTTGTCAATCGAATTATCTGAAATTCGGTTAAAAAACTCATGCGGATAAAGCTGGTGAAATTGTGTTTCCATCCAACGGCTTTAAAGCGAATAAAAACCTGTACGTAATGACGTCACATGCTGTTTTGCGATCAAATTGGTATATCGAATTGATTTGAGACATTTTAAGGTGTTTCCATGTATTTTCGCACTGAATCGAACAACGTTCAAGCAAACTTTTGCGAACAAAGTTTTGTTAGACAAAACGGTATCGCGCCATCTACCAAAAATGATCAATATTTCACAAGTTGAAGGCTAATAATGCTTATGTGCCAGCTGATAGCGACATATGAATGGGATAATGTATGCGAGGCGGTTGTTGGTTGTATTCGCTATAACAACCGCCTCGCTATATATTATCCTGCTTATAATCAACCAAATAAATAAATAAATAATTTGACACAAAATATTGACTTAAAAACGAGTTTATTGATTTAAAAACGAGTATTGCTTCTGCTAAAGACTTAATCGCAATTCATTATTTATTCGGCAAATAACGTTTCCATCAGTTTTTATCGCATTAGCCGTATATCGATCAAGAGAAAATCCGATGAGACCGAACGCATTTCATTTGAGTCTATTTTATGAAATTTCATCGAATTTTACTGTTTCCATAAGGCATTTTTCATTCAATATCACTTAATTCGGATAAAAACGTGTCGATGGAAACAACATTTCCACGGTACAGCACAGATTCCAGTTAAATACAGTAAAAACAAAGCATGTTTTCCACTAAATGAACAAGAAAGAATGAGTCATATTCACAGGCATATCAACTTACATTTTTGATTTTTCTTCCACGCTGCTTCTAAAGCGTTTCTGTTGTCCACTTTTTCTGACGCCAGCGCCGAGAGAAGAACTTCAGTCCGCGGCTGCAACCTGACACACAACAGCAGGAGAGTGTTCAACAACACCCGTTTACACTCCATACAAAAGTGTGTGTGTGTGTGAGGTCTCACTTTGCCCAGGTCTTCAGCATGGTGGCTGGTGACGACAGTAAACATGTGCTGAACTGCTGAATCTTTGGACAAACCTGCAGAAATTCATCCAGGAATAAGTTCACGCATCACTTCCTACACGTATTCATTTAAACACCTAGGTTTATGGATATGGTATCACTCCACACTTTCTCTCTTCACATAATTACATTTCAATTTATGTAGTAACACACTATGTAAAACTACCATTCAAAAGTGTGTTTTTTTTAAAGAATTTAATTTTTTTATTCAGCAAGGATGCATTATTGATCAAGAAGAAAGGACAGTAGAGATATGTTACAAAAGATGAATATTTCACTTTATATTCATCAAAGAATGAAAAACAAAATGGTTTATAGTTTCCACAAACATTAACTGTTTCTTGAGCATCAAATCATCTTATTAGAATGATTTCTGAAGGATCATGTGACACTGACGCTTTGAATCAATTACATTTTATAATATATTACCATATAGAAAACAGTTATTTTACAATTTTTTATTTTTACTTTATTCTCAATTGAATAAATGCAGCCTTGGTGATCAGAGGAGACTTATTAAAATGGTAGCGTATTTATTTGGTAAGAAAAAAAACGGTAAATTAAAAATAAACCCAATTAGGGCGATATAGAACTATAAAACGATGCATGTTATAGTCTTGATCACCTTGTTTGAGTTTATTTTAGGGCTGTGCAAAGATTAATCACATCCAAAATAAAAGTTTGTGTTTACATAATATGTGTGTGTGCTGTGTATAATTATTTTGTATTTATAAATACATTTGCATGCATGTATATATTTAAGAATTATTTGCATGTAAATACTGTATATATATATATATATATATATATATAAATACATAATCTATATTATATATACATATTTTAAATATGAACAACATTTTCTTAAATATATAAATGCATGCGTGCGTATTTATATATACACAAAATAATTATACACAGCACACACATATATATTATGTAAACACAAACTTGTTTTGGATGCGATTAATCACAATTAATCAGCCGATTAATCAAAATTAATGGTTTTGAACATGGTTTTAAACTTATTCAACATTTACCAGTACTTTACTGACATTTCCATCCTGTTTTAGTTTGTTCACAGACACACACAAACAAATGTCACCTGACCTGGCCCTCAAGGAAAAACTTTGCAAACAGTTTGTAACGTTCAAGGCCCTCTGGGTAATCCATCTCAACGGCGGGAAGTTTCCAACTGACTCTGACTGTGGAGAGAGAGAGAGAGAGAGAGAGAGAGAGAGAGACCCACATCATGTGACTGGAATTACACACACCACAAGACATTGTTTCGGTTGACTCTGGACAGGAAGAAGGACAGCTGCTCTTACAGAAGGTGCTCTGCTGTCGACACTTCACTCGGCCACTCAGTGGGCAGTACCAGGGGGCGGGGCTTTCCTCCGGGGCGCTGAAGTGACAGTATTGTGGGAGGAGCTTAGGAATCCACTCCGCCTGAACGGCACAGACGCCTGCGAGAAACAACACACTCCACATATTACTGATGTGTGTGAAGATAGAGCTGTCACAATTATGAAAGTTTAGTGAAGTTTTTCTTATAATTGATTAATTTTCAAAGCATTTTTATTTCTAATTATTTTTGTAAATATTATTTAAAAAAATGTAAAATTGTATTGTATGTGTTATATAAAGCTATTATATATGTGTCATTTACTATCTTTAAATTCAAATTAAATTATGCTCACCCAGGCTTCATTTATTTAATCAAAAATACAGTAAAAACTGTAATGTATTGTTTCACTAAACGGCATTTGAGTGCCCCCTGGTGGCGAAAAATCCTGCATATTGTACCTTTAACTTAAGTAATTACTAACATTAAAATACATATAAAAGTCAACAAGCTAATCCCACGGAGATTTTCCACTTTGTTTCCAACTGTTTTTGAGACGAAACCTTGATTGAGTGCATTTGAAGGACAGTGTACAGTCGTGTCCACAGACCTCTCATGTACATCTTGGTGGTCTCCATGACTTCCTGGTAAACAACAAACTCTGGAAGTGTCTTATTAAGGGCAGATGATGGGTGAATAAACACTGGATCGTCCAACAGAGGAGTCTGGAACACACACACACACACACATATGCATATAGATCTGTCTATTACTGTGAAAATCAAAAGAGAAATCAGAAGCGAACAGGTTATTTAAAGCACCTTGTAGCCGTTCCTCCACTTGGGGTCGAGCAGTTCCTCGGCCTGCACTCGTCTGGCGATGTGATCTCCTAAACCTGCCAATACGATCTGCCGTAAGAACGTCACCTGTGACTCTGTCGGAGGAGCCATCTTATTATCCATGTATACGCCAGCGTTGGAGCAAACAGCATTCACTGAGAGACGGAGAGAGATGCTTAAATCAGATGCACAAGAAACAGAAGGCAAACACACAAATAAAAATTGCATGTGTATTTTGTGACCAATGTACCTGCATTGGTCAGTTGTCCTCGTAATCTTCGGATTTCCAGCATTGCTTTGAACCGAAGGCCATTTTCCTCACAGAACTGACGAGCGCAGCCAGCAAATTCACAAGCGCCGACCGCCCCTAAACACCAATCAACACACAAACCACACAATTCAATGGCAGAACAAAAGAAAATGCATAGAAGAGTAAGGCAGTGTGGTATTATATATATTTGGCAATTTTTAATTATTGACATCGACTGATAGATTTATTTTTTTGGTTTGGCTGGTCACAGTCAGGAGAGGGACTTTTATTTTGACGCGCTGACTCCCATGCTTCGTTTACAGTCTTTGTTCAACAGCTCAGTCTGATAATAGAAAGGCAAACACTATAATAGTTGTATTGTTAGGTTTTATTAATAATACATGTCATTAACTTGCTACAGTATGTACAATGAGTATTATCTGGGCTTTATTTGTGAAATATGATTCCATGACTTTTCTAGAAATGTTTTTTATTTGTGAAAAATACTATGATAGCAATTACAGAAGTTGCCATATAACTGAAGTATACATCTGTTTATTTTAGATTTTTATTTTTTTTTATCAAGCTCAAATTATTTTTTGAAATGGATGCATTTATATTTATTTATTCCAGTAAATACTAAGTAAAAATAAAATACACTTAATTGCAGCAATTATGCATGTTAAAAAATGGTTAAAAACCTGTGAGTCAACCACTATAGGACTGTGTTGTTATTGTTAATTAAAATAAAACAAACTATTAAAAATCAATTTTGTTAATTAAAATCAAGCTAGAATATGGATAATACGACCTTAAACTGTTGAATGCATTGAAGTGCATTATTTGGCGAAAAATCCTGGAATGTTTTAATCAAAATCCTTAATTTCTTTTTCGACTGAAGAAAGAAAGACATGGACATCTTGGATGACATGGGGGTGAGTAAATTATCAGCAAAAGTTTTTTTTTTTTTTTTTTTTTAAGTGAACTACTCCTTTAAAATGGAAAAAAAGCTAATAATACTAACATCACACTGCTAGAACAAAGGTTTTTTTACATCAGGCAAGAATGCCTGAACATTTGACATTTCAAATCCAAAGTTAGTGAAATGAAAGCCATGCCATACCCAGCAGAACCATCAGATCTCCCAGCTGCAGTGACTGTCCCTGTCCTGCCCATAACCGCCTCATCTGAACAGATCTGGCTTTCTTCCCCGCCATCTTAGTGCTCTCCTCCTCGCTGCCCGCAGGCCTGACAGACCAGAGAAAGACCAGACGTGAGCGCTACCGTTCCCTAATGCTTCATCTGGACCACAGAGACAAAAGTGAAGTAAATGTGCATGTGTGACCTGTCATAATCCTCAAAGATCTCTCTGACCGTCATGGCGGCCACGATGGTGATGACATACGGCATACAGCCCTTCTGACGGCCCAGCGCCAGCATCTTAGCGTAACGCGGTGCGACGGGGAACGCGGCCATTGCACGACCCAGAGGGGTTATGGGACACGATAGACGCGCCCTCTCCATCTCGCCCAAACTAAAAACAGGTTAAGAAAGAATATTCATTTTATAATCACTTTTTTCCCAGCAACATTATAATGAACATTACTATTCGTGATGACCTTTCAACAGCCGATTTGATCAAATGATATTTGCTCATAAAAGTTTATAATAATTACTTAAATTCTATAGCTTGATTAGATATTTTATAGCTGACTGTCTGTCATTTTTAATTATTTTTAGTTCATGTGAACTATATTGATCACATTAAAATAAATAATTTTTTTAATTATGAAATATTTAGTCATCTTTAGTGATTAAATAATAGTTGATGACCCTTTTGCAATAAAAGTTTTCACATTATTAATTACAACAATTGAATTATAACTTCATAAACATGAATTTATACTACAGTATTATATATATACATATAGTTTTTTAGACTATTGCTTAGTCTAATATAGTGAATCAAATTGTAAATAAATTAATTGGTTAAATTTTCAATTTAATATTATTTGACAAAATATGATTCCCATTTCCTAGTGATATTACAGTTGATTATCAGATTATTTCTCATTATCATTTTATGGCACCTGCAGTTCATATTGATGTGTTAATGAACTATTTTGTTGATAAATTTAAAAAAGAAGAAAATTTTTAAAAAAATTAAATAAAATAAACATGGCAGTGATAAAGTAATAGTTTATACAACCTTTGTAATAATATGCAATTTTTTTCATATTTTAATAAAACAATGTACATATTTTACCCTTTTGTGTTTACACTTATAAACACTTATATATTCATTTATATATACATTTATCTATCTATATATATCTATATGTATCTATATATATATATATATATACACATATATATCTATATATGAAGAGTTAAGATGCAAAAGCCTCTAAATGCCATTTGAAATTTTCTTCTTTAATGATGATGATTTTTATCAAACTTGTATATTTAAGTTCAGTACTGAACTTAAATATACAAGTTTGATAAAAATCATTAAAGAAGAAAATTTCAAATGGCATTTAGAGGCTTTTGCATCTGAACTCTTCATATATATATATATATATATATATATAAACATATCACTTTTGCAAACATGTGCATATTTAAATGTTATTCCATTTTAACTAAGTATTAATCCATCAATGTATAATTTTAATAAAAGCAAACGTGGCTGTTGAAATTTCCTATCAGTTAGACTTGTCGGACAGAGTGATGTGTGAATGACAGAGAGAGAGAGAGAGCGTACCGTCCGTGTCGAGGCGGCTCCTCCAGCGCTCCCAGCGAGATCAGAAGCTGCTCGGCTGCGATCAGCGCCTCGGATGATGGAGGAGTGGGGAACGGGAAGTTCACAACCTAAACCCACACACACAATACATAAACAAGACTAAACCACAACCTGTCATGCTGGGATATAATAGTTCATGTGGGATTTAATCGCATGATGAAAGGACACCTTCTCAATGTTGAGGTCTTTCATCTGAAGGACGAGGTCATCGACGGGACGCCGCGTGATTTCAGCCTCCGAAAACAAACTGAAATCCCCAAACACAGCAGACGAGTAGAGCCTGTGCATACATACACAAATATTAATATCACACCATATCATATCCAGATCTTCCTCACATAACCATACAACAATGGTCAAATTCTGACCTATAGCAGTGACCCGGTTCCGTTCTGCCCGCCCTTCCTGCCCTCTGATTGGCTGAAGCCTGTGAGATCCAGGTGACCTTGAAGGTGGAGATGCCCGTCACCCTGTCGTAGAATCTCTTCTTCACACGGCCGCAGTCCACGACATACTTGATACCGGGGATCGTCAGAGACGTCTCCGCAACATTAGTCGCAACGACACACAGACGCGCTCCAGCGGGAGGAGGACGGAAAACCTGAACACACACACACACGAGATCAATAAGAATAATAATAGTGACAAACAGTGATTCTACAATTGGTGTGACAAACCGCATGTCTAAGGATTGAAGTCAATTCACGGCTACAGCATCTGGAAGCATTGTAACATCATTCATCCATTCATTTCAGAGCATAATTATTAAAAATGCCGTTCACAAAAATGCATAACGCCATAAATAATGAAATATCTTAAATGTTCAGAATCTGTAATCATTGTGAAAAATAACTTCAAACAGCAAATAGTTTAAAAGTTCTTATTGGAAAAGACAGTCATGATCAAATGAAATGTATGGATGAAATGTAGAATAGATATAAAAATTGTATATATATATATATATATATATATATATATTAGGGCTGTGAAAAGATTAATTGCGATTAATCTCATCCAAAATAAAAGTTTGTGTTTACATAATATTTGTATGTGTGCTGTGTATAATTATTTTGTATATATAAATACACACACATGCATGTATATATTTAAGAAAATGTGTAATTAATTTATAAAGTATATATATATATATATATATATATATTATTTATGTTAAAATAATTCTTAAATATATACATGCATGCATATGTATTTATATATACAAAATAATTATACACAGCACACACACATATATTATGTAAACACAAACTTTTATTTTGGATGTGATTAATTGCAATTAATCTTTGCACAGCCCATACATATAGTAAAAAATGATTTCTATACAAGTAAAATTTATATAGTAATTATAATAAATTACAATAATTAGGTATAGGATTTTATAATCTAGTTTTAAATGATCTACAAACATTAAACACTATTATTACATTTATTATTAATTAATTACAAATTATATCAATTTATATTATATTGTTTTACATTTTATATTGATTAATGTATCAAATTAAATAAACATTTTCTGTTATTTTAGCCAAATATATTTATGCATTTATTGCAGTGGATATTGAGTTTTTCATGAAACACAGAGATTAAAAGCTTTTCAATATTGCCAATTATTTATATTTATTTATTTATTTTTTACAAATAAAAAAGTAATTTATATAATAGAATTATATAGTCTATCTTAAAGTAAATCAAGTACATTTCCATGCATTTTTTAAATGTTTTTTTTTTTCTTCAAAGAAAAGTGAAAAATGCTTGTCCAATTATACTGTTATTAGAGGACACTGAAGCGAGTGAACAGACAGATACCTTTGCCTGCAGCTCGGGTGCCAACAGAGAGTAGAGAGGAAGTACGTAGAGCGGGATCGACGGATCCGCCTTCTCTTCTGACCACAGGAAACCACAAAACACACACACACACATTAATTCATATATAGAGTCAAACAGATTAAACAAACCTGCATATAAGTAAGAATCCCTCACCCTGATCGCTCTCTGGATGATCACCCAGCTCCAGCTCAAGGTCTGAACCCTCATCATCATCTTCATCAATGCCGGCCTGCCGATCCTCATCACCCTCGTCCACAGGCAGAACAGAGTAACTGTCCAGATTAATCCTCGGGAGGGACTGAGACAGAGAACATAGCCTGATGCTAGTGCACTTCTTACTGCACCAAATATACTACATAATACTTAGTATGTGAGACAATAGCATGTGAAACTGTGTTACATAGTTGACTACACACATTCTCGTTAAAATTCAAGTGTTCTGCAATCATATCAACAGGAAAATAAGCAGTTTCTTTAACAATATTTATTCATCTTTGTTAAATGTTATATCATTAAAAAAATACAATGTACGTTTACAGTGCATTAACTTATATTAACAAATACTGATACGAAAAAAATAATTAATATTGGCTGCAGAAGTACTTTTCATTGTTCGTTTATGATAGTCATCATACCACATTGTTTTTCTCTGCTCTTTTTGACTTCTTCAGGTCGTCTGTTTCCATTGAATCTGAAAGAGACACACACTTCAGTTTCTAATGTTGGGAAGGCGGCTCATCAACTGAGGAGATTTTCCTATATTAGTATCCACAATACTGTCATTTTCTTAGTTAAAGTGCCCTTAAACAAAGGTCTCTCTCTTTGAAGGTCTCTTACAATAGGTTTACAAGCATCCGAGGTCAAAAACCACTTTGAACGAATCAAAATGAATGAATCTTTTTCCGATTCATTCAACGAACGAAACGACTCGGAAAAAGATTAGTTCATTTTGATGAACGAGTTCGAACAGGAGAGTCAGGAACGTGCATCACAGAACAGAGCAAGGCGACCATTTGAGCTTGTAAAACTTAAACTTTGTTATTTTTTCTTTTAAATGAATGATTTTTCCGCTTGATAAGAACCTTATTCAACATCTGGAATCGTTTAAAGCCCTTTGAACAGTTCGCACTGAAACTGTCTTTTGGACCTTGAACCGTTTGGACCCCATTGAAGTCCATTATATGGAGAAAATCCTGGAATGTTTTCATCAAAAACCTTAATTTCTTTTCAACTGAAGAAAGAAAGACATGGACATCTTGGATGACATGGGGGTGAGTAAATTATCAGCAAAAGTTTTTTTAAAGTGAACTACTCCTTTAAGCATATATTGTGTGTGTGTGTGTACCTGTGTGCTCTCGGTTGGGTCTGTAAGGGAAAGCCTTCCTCAGTTTGCGACACACAGAATGGACCTCCGCTTGACCCGTCAGAAACACCAGAATCCCACCTACAACAACACACACGTGTTCAGACATTCATCATCCCCTGCTGCGTATTCATTTATCTGTGCTTATAGTTAAGATTTCAGTTTAGCAGCTATGTGTGTTTAACCAACCTGGCGGCAGCATACGATGAATCTTGCAGATCTTGCGGAAAGCTTCTCCAGTGTAGTTCTCCATTTGTGTGCGTTTGTTGAAATGTACCGTGACTGCAAACTGACGGGCCTCCACCTATAGACACACACAGTGTTGAAACAGTCATATGATTGGAGGACAAAAGTGTTTTTCTTGATTATTATGAAGTCATTTATATCTAGAAGTCTTAAAAACACAGAACGGTGGTATTTGGTTCCCACCAGTACTTGGTTATTTGTTGGGAATCAAATTTAAGGAATGTTTTTTTTTTTAATAACAATGAAATAACTTTCACAGAACATTTTTTCGAGACAACCTAAAAATAACTTCTACAGAACCCTAACCATAAAGGTTATTTTAGGTTATTTATTTTTTGACAAATAACTGCATTTTCTAGAAAGTTTCAGAGAGGAATTTCTGCAACATCCGAATGACAGCTTATGCTGAACTTTCTCTGTTGGTTATTTTCAATTAAGAACGTTTTCTAATCAGTCCTTCCAGAAAAACCAAAGTTTTTTGTGATTGTTGCGTGCAAAAATCCTTGATTACGGCCCGTTTTCTTTAAAAATGGAATATGTGGGATATTTATGCTATGAAATAGCATAACCTTAAAGGGTTAGTTCACCCAAAAATGAAAATTCTGTCAGTATTTACTCACCCTCATGTTGTTCCAACCCCGTAAGACCTTCGTTCATCTTCGGAACACAAATTAAGATATTTAGGATATTAAAATCGCTCCTGCATACAGTCCATAGGCTTCTTGAGGGACTGGCTCTTGCTGTCCTCGAAAAGTAATTGAAGACATCGTTAAAATAGTCCAAGTGACTACAGGGGCTCAATCTTAAGTTTATCAAACAATGAGAACACTTTTGTGCGCAAAAAAACAACAAAAATAACGACTTTATTTCAACTATTCACTTCCTTCTCCATAAGCCTATAGTCCGTTAACGTAGTGTGATTGCGTAGAGCTACGTCACACGTAGGCTCACTATTGGTCGACGCTGGTCATGTGTGTGTGATGCGTGTGACGTACAATAACAGAAGCTTACGCTATTAAACTAGTAACCTGACTCGCGCAGAGGGAGAAATAAACGAATAGTTGAAATAAAGTCGTTATTTTTGTTGTTTTTTTGCGCACAAAAGTGTTCTCGTCGTTTGATAAACTTAAGATTGAGCCCCTGTAGTCACTTGGACTATTTTAACGATGTCTTTTATGACTTTTCGGGGACGGCAAGAGCCAGTCCCTCAAGAAGCCTATGGACTGTATGCAGGAGCGATTTTAATATCTTAAATATCTTAATTCGTTTTCTGAAGATGAACGAAGGTCTTACGGGGTTGGAATTTTCATTTTTGGGTGAACTAACCCTTTAATGCTACTACCTTAATATAAAGAGTCATTTTTTATTCCTTCCTATGATAAGCAAGCATATACATCACAGAAAGAGCTGGAATATTTCAGTTCTCATCTTGTTTTATTTCAGACCTTAATAAAAACATCAAACTAACAAAACATTGTTGAGTCAAACAAGTCCTGTAGCTTTAAACAAGGAATATGCTACAACTTCTGTAAAAATGAATAAATAAAATATAAAAAAATACAAATTTACAGCTTTTCGATTTTTCAACTTTCTGCTAAAATATATGTGACTTTTTTGCAACGAAAATGGGAGGATTATGAAATTATGTAAGCCCCGCATATTTTGCATGGAAATCGGCAATTTATGCGTCAAAAGTGCATAATATATGCGAAATATGTGGACTTTGGCTGATCATGCACTAAACCATGCGATCGGTGCGTAAATAATGACAGGATTTAATAATCAATCACTACAGAATTTAATAAAGTGTAAAAAAAAATAGTTCACAGTTATATTGATCAGATAAAACCAGCTCTATAGCTGAAAGTATTATAGCGCAGTGTGAAAAGCATGCATATACTGCCCGATTATTCTCCTGACATCTGATAATGACATGAACGCATGCTATTGAAACAGAAGAACATGAATGTGACACCTTGATGACCGGAGGAGGAGAGCGGAAGAGTCTCTTGTTCTCCGTGAAGTCCTCCACACGCAGCGTCGCTGACATGATGATCAGCTTCATGGGTAAACCTTTCTGCGAATCACACACGGCATTACACACACGCCGAACACACAGCTTTAACCTGGACGTCACACATGTTCACGCATGTTACCTTGTTGCGAAGCGGGACGATGCGCGACAGGAGGCCGATGAGGATATCTGTGTACACACTGCGCTCGTGAGCTTCATCTATGATCACCACACTGTATTTCTGCAGCAGGAAATCCTGCAAACACACACATCATGACATGGATAAGAGGAAGAGGAAGGAGATGCATCATGTTCAAACTGTAATACACTGATGGCTTACTTTTAGTTCTATAGAACATTTAACACGCACTTGAAAAGAATAATAAAAACATTTTTTTTTTTTTTTTGCTTTAAAGGGATAGTTCACTTTGAAATACATTTTTGGTATGTTTTATCTTACCTCAAGAGCATCCAAGATGTAGGTGTCTTTGTTTCCACAGTAGTTTCAATTTTGATATTTTTAGGTCAAACCGTTCTTGTCTGTCAGTAATATAATGCAGGTCTATGGTCACCACAAACCAAACCGATATAAAACGATCCTCAAAACCACCTCAAAAACGATATAAATTCTGTTCGTTTTCTCACACAAACGGCTCGTTTCGTGTCTTAGGCCATCAATGTGTACTTGCATTTACGCGTCATTAAATCATGTTTAATTTGGACTTCTCTGTGCATGCTCTTTGAGGTGGTGACCATAGACCTCCATTATATGACTGACAGACATGAACAGTTTGACCTAAAAATATCAAAATTGAAACTACTGCGGAAACAAAGACACCTACATCTTGGATGCCCTTGAGGTAAGATAAAACATACCAAAAATTAATTTCAAAGTGAACTATCCCTTTAATACTTGATAAACAAACCAATCATAGAGGTTAGCTGAAATATACAAACCTACGGTCAGACTCAGCACATGCGCTTCTTTTCATGACCAATACGTGACATTTGACCCCAGGTGAAATCTAAACACTGACTGTATCAGTATTGTTAGAAAAATCTTTGGAGAACCTCTACGGGTCATCCTTTTTACAAAAAAAAGTCTAGTCTATACAGTATACACTTTATTATACTCAACCTGCCCAAGTATAATATTGTATAGTACAGCTTTAAAAAGAAAATACATAGTATGCATCAGATATTATATATATATATATGAGGGATGTAGGAATATAAAATGAGGGGTGCATGTTTGTTACCTTCTGAATTTCTTTAAGCAGAACACCATCTGTCATGAACTTGATCTTTGTGTCTTCTGTCACATTCCCTTCATACCTGATCTGATAAGACACCACCCTGAACACACACACACACACACACACTTATTTCAGTCTTCATGCAGGATGTTTGTAAAAGGTCTGAAAATAACTGCACAAATGCAACAGTACAATGGGCTTAACAGAGCAGGATCAAGTCAACATGAGGTTCAGTTTAACCTTAAAATGACGCAAAAAGCAAAATCCTGTCATTATGCGCTATCGTTAAAAAGCTTAAGGACAGTATTTTTTTTTAACAAATTGATACTTTAAATAAAAAAAAACCCTGACAATACATTAAAAATGTTACAAAAGATTCTATTTCAAATAGAATCTCTTTAAATAAAAGTTATTTGATCAAAGAATCCAGAAAAATATGAAGCAACACAACTGTCTTTAACACTGATAATAATCAGAAATGTTTCTTAAACAGAAAATCATCATATTAAAATGAATTTTGAAGGATCATGTGACACTATAAAAGAGTAATGATGCTGAAAATTCAGCTTTAATAAATCAATTATATTTCACAATATGTTAAAATAGAAAAGAGTTATTTTAAATTTACATTAAGTTTGACAAATCTTAATATCTACAATGTAACTTTAGGTTGATTATTATTAATACTATGAATTATAATAATAATAATCTGCAATTAGGGCTGTGCAAAGATTAATTGCAATTAATCGCATCCAAAATAAAACTGTGTTTACATAATAAATGTATGTGCTGTATATAATTATTTTGTATTTATAAATACACACACATGCATATATTTAAAAATGATTATTATATATAATTTTTAAATATTTAATATAATTAATATATATACAATTTTATAATTATTTGCACGTAAATAAAAAATATATACACACACACACACACACACACATATATATATTTATATATAAATACATAATCTATATTATATATAAATATAAATATTTCAAACATGAATTACACATTTTCTTAAATATATATAAATGCATGTGTGTGCTTTTATATTTCAAACTTTTATTTTGGATGCAATTAATCGCAATTAATCTTTGCACAGCCCTAATTTAGTCTGATAATACATTTGATAATATAGGCGTTTACTAGAGTTTTATAAAGTTTGAATACGTGCCCAACAGCTCTTAAACATGGTCACATGACTGTCCGGTTTATTTCCTCGCGGCTCTGATGTCACACTCATACCTGTTGGGTAAATTCATCTCAGTGGCAACACGCTGAGACATGCTGATCGCTGCCACTCTCCTGGGCTCGGTCACAGCGATGATGCCGCCGGAGCTGAGAAGCAGAGGAGTAACCCGTGAGAGGAAGATCACACAGATCACACACACATCGGCTAACCCACGTTACCTGGCGTATCCCGCCTCATACAGGAACTGAGGAACCTGTGTGGTTTTCCCACTCCCCGTCTCTCCACACAGCACCACACACTCGCTCTCCCTCACCGCTTCCATGATCACCTGCTCCTCCGCCAGGATCGGCAGCCTCAGACGAGCCTCCTGCAATTCACATGAAGAGTCACACACACACACAATCCCAAACACAAGTCAAAACCAGAATATAGACAGGAAAATTACCAGTAATTAACTCAATGAATCAAAATATTGGTCCCACTTTATTGTGGCTGTCTACTACTCATTAACATTTAAATGTATTGCACTTATACATGTTTATATTCTGTATACCTGAAGGTAATTACATCTAATTCATTTCTGCAATTGCATCTTTAATTAAACTGTTGACACGTGGACCCACCCATAACACTAAACCTGTCCTAACCGTACCTACAGCAGAGCAAAAGATCTGCAATTCAACATCAACACAATATTACATTTTTACTAGGGCTGTGCAAAAATTAATTGCGATTAATCGCATCCAAAATAAAAGTCTGTGTTTACATAATATATTTGTGTGTGCTGTATATAATTATTTTGTATATATAAATACCTATGCATGCATGTATATATTTAAGAATTATTTGCGCTTAAATTCTGTATATATATATATATATATATATATATATATATACTCATTTTCTTAAATATATACATGCATGTGTGTGTATTTATATATACAAAAAATAATTATATACAGCACACACAAATATATTATGTAAACACAGACTTTTATTTTGGATGCAATTAATTTTTGCACAGCCCTAATTTTTACCTAACGTTTAATTTTTTTAAAACCAAGTATATAGGATTTAGAGACACCTAATATAAAGTGATCCCAAAAACTTAGGAATATTAGGAAATGAAACGTTCCCATTTAAGTGTGGATGATGCTTCAAAACTGAATCAGATCAAATCAAAACAATTTAAATATGATAAGCATTGAATCCGTAATTTACATTTCAACGCATTATACGTTTCTAAAAATAATTGTGGCCAATGTTAACATGCATTATAATATTTGCATCTTCATCGTTACACACAAAATTGGTTGTTTTGATGCATTATACTTTCTAAAGGTGTAAAGCTGAATAGATAAGTATTTTATTGTAATGTATTATAAAGTGCATAATTAATTATAAAAGTATTCTTAATGAATTAATACAGTCAAAATGAACGCATTAAGAATTCTTGTATAATGCATTGCATATAAATGCATCAAGTAGTGTATTTAGAATTATATAAATATACATTTTATTTATATAAATTTACTAATTGTATCTTTTGCTATATTTGTTTGCTATGACTTTACGCCGCTAGTCAAAGATCTGGTTACACACATACTTACACTCTAAAGTCACGATGAAATCTAAATTGTATTTATTATAAATGATTTATATCATTTATAATAAATGCATATCACTATTTTTTTATTCACATGCCTCATAATCTTAAATCAAACCAACTTCCCCTTCCTCTTTCAGAGACGTCTCTTCTCAGATCTGAATGGTGGATCAACATGTCACTCACCAATAGCAAACCACAACCATCCAATCAATTCCCAAAGGACAAACTCAAGCCCCGCCCTACAACTGTTCTCATTCCAGAAGCCGTTTCAATCGGATATAAGACTCTCTATAAGACTTTAAAACAATCCAGTTCCCGTACCTGAATCTCCGGAAGTCGGTCAACGGGAATAAACACGGCAGGTTTACAGTCTTCTTTCTTCTGCGTTTCCTCTTTAACGTCCATCTCTTTCTGTTTCACCTCCTCTTTCAGCACCTGCTGCTCTTCTGTGGGTTCTTCCTCAGGCGGTTTATCCTCGTCTTCCTCAGATGAGTCTGATCCCTCACTATCCTCCTCCTCGGATGACTCTGACTTACCATCATCATCATCATCCACCGCTCTTCTCCTCTTTCTGTTGGCTCCGCTCAAACTGCTGATCTTGACAGTAGATGAATCCCCTTCCTGATCTTCCTTCACAGATCTGCAAGCACACACGCAGGAAACAGAAATGCGTCAGATGACAGATCATCGGCTGCTCAGATGTGATGCACAGGTCGATGTCTTACGCTTTTGCCTGGTAGAGTTTGTCCCCAGTGCCGAGTTTAGAGGTGGTGTACAGCAGTTTGAGCTCTGTCTCGGGCAGCTGAACCTCCGCTAGTTTAGATAAGATCTCTGCTCTCTGTGGAGATATTGGGAGAAACAAAAGTCAAATCACTTATAAATGACAAACTGCATCAATCACGGATTCTCTCTCTCTCTTCTCTTACATGGGATTTCTTTTCTTTCTGCTCCAGAACTTTCTCCAAGTTCTTCCTCTGTTTCTTCGTCAGGGCTCTTTTCTTGGGCACGGGACGTTCCACTTTTTGTTTTTTGGTCCTGGTGGCGGGCAGAACGAGAACGTTACAGTCGTCTACTCCTTTAAGCACGGCTCCATCTGCACAGAATCACGTGTGTGAGAGAGCAGACAGACGCACTGAATCTCTTTCAAAACAAGCTCTACAGCTGCTCGTGACACTCCTACAGTACTTTACTTATATTCTTATTACAATACACACAATATGATTTAGTGGACATTATAGTAATCAGTCATACATCTAAATGAATAATTGGTCAAATGTAGAAACAAAAAAGCATATTATAGTATAAACAAATTCTATATACTATATCATTCATCATCATCATCTACATGAATGTGCTGATTCCTGCTTCCCTGTGGTCAAAGAGAAATATAATATAATATAATACAATATTTTTTGTGTTTGAAACACACTAAAACTTATAATGACAATAATACTTAAAAATTGTGCTATATTTTGTGACAAATTTTACATTTGTTTTTAATGAACTGGAAGCAATAACAAAATAGAATTTAATAAATAAATAGAAAAAAAACAAAAATACATTTGCATCTGTAAATATACATGATCAGTGGATCAAACAGAAAAGTACAATAGAAAGCGTTTTATGTTTTTTTTTTTGCTCTTTTAAATAGAAAAGAAGACGTTTTTAAGTCGTTTCCCCCTACAATGGAAGTCAATAGGGTCCATCAACTGTCTGGTTACCAACATTCTTTAACATATCTTCTTTTGTGTTTAACGGAGCAAATAAACCCATACATGTTTGGGACAACATGAGGGTGAGCAAATTATGACAGAATTTCCATTTTTGGCTGAACTATCCCTTTAAATGAACAGTTTCCGCTTCTTATTGCATCGCTGATAATGACCTGTATTGCAGATCTTCTGGTCAAGCATGGATCTTACCTTGTATCTCCACCTGCACATCTGTCTGTCTGTCTCCAGCAGCTTTCTGCACAGATGTGCTCTGCTGTCTGCCTTTCCAGTTATATTTCTTCCTCAATCTGCCCATGGCAGGACTCTACAGGTCAAACAGAACCTGTCAAGAACATATTTCACTAGAAACTCTGCAAGTGCCGTGAAAATAAAATCACCGTGCAAAAACATAATGGTCTAGGTCTAAATAGTCTTCATTTGATTCGGGTTTTAATTTTGGGATGAAATGTGACATCGATATATATCTGACAGGACATGTTTTTGTGAGTTTCACCCCTGACAATCTCATCTTTTACCACTCATTTGAACTGATTCGAGTATCTTCTGTCAGAATGTCAAAAATAGCGGTGATCTTATAACTGCTCGTGCTCTTACTGCTAGATGTTTACACTGCTCGAGATCAGCTGACAAACTAACACACATTAAAAAACTCAAAATCTTAGTTTTCCTATTAGGCTAATCCTTTCAGGCTAACATACACGACATTGAGAAGGATCATTACGTCCTTTATATGCATACAAATAATTAAACATGTTTTATCTAAATGTATCATACAGTAACGAAATCGGAAAAACTCACGTGTTGATCCTGTACGTATAGTGATGTTGTGCAACTGTAAAATGAGACCGACGACGCGCATCATCAACGATAAAAGGTTCCGGGATTCAGGGTTTCATCCAGTCAGCGAACTTTGACGGAGAAAAAGATTTATTATAATTATATATTAATTATATTATATTACGTTATAATATATTATATTATATTAGTAACACTTTAAAACTTTTTGTAAAGAAGAACGGGAACTTCCTGGTTAAATTAAATTAAAAATGAAAAAAGAAGAATATTGTGCCTTGTTGGTTTTGCGCGTCGCGACAATTAAAAAAAGGTGAGTTGGAAGCAATAAAATAAAAGGATTAAGAAAACCAAAAAACAAACAAACACACAAACCTGTGAATATGCACCAACATTGTTTAATTCGTTTAACCAGCGGATAAGTTTACAAAAGAGTGCAATTTTACAAAGACAAGTACAAAAGAGAGGGATTTTTTTCCTAATTTTAGGGTACAGTAAATATTACATTTAATTGTCTATCTGCTTTAAGCATTTGTTATCTGATTAAAAAAAATATACAACAAAAGGGCAATAAGATGAAAGGTCTATCTTTAAAATAGTCACACTTATGTGATCATTAAAAATGAAGTGTGCAAAATTATTAGAATAAAATGAACACAGTTGTTTTCTCTTGGTCCAGCTTGTGACCGTTTCATCCATAGACACATTATGATGTAAATTTTCTCAATTCTCATCCTACATGCTCCTGTCTTTTAGCGAGACGTATTCGTTACTCAGGGTCGCGTCGTCTTCCGGCGTGAAGGTCTCAGCAGCCGTGCGCGTGAGCCGCTCAAAACGCCTGAGGAAGACGATGACAGAGGCCAACAGGAGCACCTGAACGGTGATGAAGATGAAGAGGCTGATCTGTGAGGCCAGAGCCAAATTACACGGCCAGTAACGACACGATTCCAGAAGCTCCTGTTCAACCAGATACACGACCAGGCGCCCCCGCAGGTGAGCAGGAGAACTGCAGGTAACGTTCCTGGAACATACACACACAATCAACTTGTGCTTCATTATCTCAGGTGTGTCTCATAACGTTCCTTACGTAAATAAAGCAAGCTTTTCGTGTGTTTTATCAGGAGAAACATCTGAGAAGCATGAGACATTAAATTCATTGCTGTTTAGGAGACATCTTTTCACAGACCAACAAAAATAAAGTCAGAAATTAATCAAGCCAATGCCGGATGTAAGCCAGATTTGGCCCAGACTCTGTTGCAATCTGGGTACTGTTTTAGGTTGGGGTTTTTTGTGTGAGAAAAAACTAATTCTGAAAAACATATTGCATTTGAAATTTAAAGATGTAGACAACCTAGAATAGATATAGTGAAATAAAATGCTTTCCGCTGGTCTGAAATGCATAAGGATTATGGGAAGCACGCAAGCCGCACAGGATTTAAACTTTTTCGTCTGTTTCGAAAGTTTAGTCTGAAGCCGAAAATTATTAGCTACTTTATTATGGAGAAACGCAATATTGTAATGAGTATCACTTTATTTTAAGGTGACGTGTTACACATTACTACATGTAATTACTATAGTAAGCAATGCATAATTGCAGGTAACTAACCCTAATCAAACCCAAAACATCTATAGCAAGAATATGGGTAATACTTTATTTTACAGTGACCGTTACATGTAGTTACTATAGACCATTTTGCAAGATGTAAACAACACTGGTCCAGAAACACTTCCTGTTTCAGTTTGTAACTGTTTTCTTTATTTCACATGTAAAGAAAACATCTTAAAGATGTTTGTTTAACTTTTTTAATCAGTTTTAAATGTTCTGTTGGTTGTATTTTATCCCAGCTTTTATGTAGTGTTAAAAAACTGAAACAGGAAGTGCTTCTGGACCAGTGTTGTTTACATCTTGTGAAATGGTCTATAGTAATAACTATAAATTATGCATAATTACATGCAACTAACCCAAAACCCTAACCCTATATTAAGTACATTATTATTACTCGGTATTTAAATATATAATTACACTACGTGACCTTAAAATAAAGTGTAACCTTGTAACGCATTACACTGGGCTGCATGCAACAATGTAAAATGTGTGTAAAATAATGTGTTTCTGAACATTTAACCATGAAAACCTATTCTAGTAGAGCCCAAAAACAAAAACAAAACAAAAATATGCATAAAATGGGCTTTTTAATATCTCATCTATACACTGACCGCATCGAAGCGTCATTCCTCTGTTTCAGCAGCCATCCTCTGAGATAAAGGATGCCGCAGTCACATGACCAGGGGTTTCCGTGCAGGACGGCCAGGCGCAGGGCGGGCAGCGAGTCCAGCAGGCCGTTGGGCAGAGCCGTCAGGTGGTTGTCGTTCAGGAGGAGTTCAGTGGTGTGTGGAGGGAAGGAGGAGGGCAGCGTGGCCGTGGTGAGACCGCGTTTACTGCAGTCCATCACACCGGCGTTACAGGAACACACCTGAGGACAAGCAGCCTGAGCCACGACCAGCTCACTGCCCAGCAATGATAGGAGGACCACTGCACACCTCATACCAGCACACACACACACACACTGCAGAGACAGACACATCCATCCATCAATCAATCACTAGCTTTATACACGCTCCTTGTCTTATTGTCATGTCACCTTTATTTATATAGCACTTTTTACAATACAGATTGTTTCAAAGCAGCTTTACAGAGAAAACTGTACAGCACAGTCCAGCTTAAAGGTGCAATGTGTACACATTTTGAGGAACCCTCAGATGCTCTTCGTTTCGGAGTCACACTTGTTATCTTCCCGGTCAAAAGTGACCGGACATCTAAAAATTAAAATTTCCTCCATCCCAGTAAAACCAATGCAATTTATTTTTGTTCTATAATATTTATTCTTTGTAATTTAGTATTTTGAGACAATTTGATTGAATTTATTAATATTTATGCAATATTTATGGTCTGTTTTTGCCATGGAAAAATATATATATTTTTCTATATATATTGAATTTTTTTCAAAAAATTATTAATGCAGTATTTTAGTTTTATATAGAGTCTAGGCCTTCAGAAATTAGCACCATCTGGTTACAGTATCAAGAAAGTATTAGAATCATGGTGTATCCACTAGATGGCATGTACAGCTCTCTATGGAAACTTGGGAGCGATTCATTAGTTAACGACCTGTGCAATAAATTATATTTTGTTATCTAACGCAATGACATTCTGATATTTTTAAGTGTCCAAATATTTGCTGGTGGAGTGCAAAACTGAATGAGCTTATCTGGAATTTCAGGAGGGAAAAAAAGGAAGCAAAGGGAGCAAGGAAGACAAAGATTAAAAAAACAAAGTACCAGGATGACACAAACATCCCTGTAGAGGACAAAATACAATACTATGAATCTAATGCACATTTTAAGTTGATTTTGAATTACAAAATTACAACAAAATGTCATTTATAATTGAATATAATTAACAACTAAATGTTACAATGGAATTGGATATTGCAAAACCATGCCAATCGACATGCATAATGCTTTATTACATGATGGTCATTTAGTGCAATATTGTAGCACCACATTATTTTTTATTGTTATATTATTTATTCACATTAACTGTACACGTCGCCGCCTTTTCAGAACTTTGCATTATTAGTTGTGTCTAAATATAGCTGTAAATATGTATGTCTCAGCCTAACAGTGTCTTTTATTATATTTTATTCTTTAATTTTATTATTATGTTCTGTTGTTATATTTGGATGTGTGCACCGGATGCCTCATTTACATTGTGTACAAGTACACTTGAAATTTCTTTCTGATTCATTTTATTTTATAAAATAAAGAAATAATAAAACTCGGTTATACATTTCCACAATAAACTATTGGTATAAAACAGCTTTTGAACCATGTCTTATATTTATTTAAATATCTCAACCCCTTTAGTTCACTGAGGGTCCCAGTGGGTCATGATATTGGATGAATATGTCATTAAAAGCTAAATAAATCAACAGTAAATTATATTTAAGTTATACAACTCATGCATTTAATTTGTTCAAATGTGAGATGAACTTAATTTTGAGTGAAGTAAAAGTAAAGTTCTTACCAGCGTGTCAGTATCAGTCTGAAGGACTTTAAGACGACAGCATCAAACACAGCTGGGTCACACTGATAAAATGACCTTAATCACACACACACACACACACGCACACGCCGCCCCCTCGGAGGAACATGTGACAGGAAGTGGGCCACACTTTCATTCTCTGATACTGGGACGCTTTTTCCCAAAAACTTTTCCTTTCCTCCCGTATCTGAAAAATACTGAAAAACACACTATATTTCACATTATGTATTTAAACAATAAAATAACTATGTTTAAATTGTCTTATAAATGATATACCTTCTGACATCATGGCTGAACAGATACCGATCAATGATGCGAATATGAAACCAGCAAACGAATACAATGACAACTGATAAATTATTCACATTTATTAGCAAGCTTTACATAAACAATTGACATAATAATATAAATTATTAAATTATTAAAGGCCATTAACACTAATAATAACGGAATAGATTTGACTCCAATTGTTATAGTTATAAAACAAGCAAAAAACAGCATTCTGAGTATGTTGTATGTTTAGAGATAACAATATATTGGAGCTGTATGTTCACATTCACTATAAAAACCGAAACCGCCACTGAACCCGACAAATTCATCGCAAAAGGACCTCACACACACTCTCTTTCTCTCTCTGGACTGTCAGAAAACAACTTACACACGCATTCGTCTTGCTAAGCAAATAAAAAAAAGTCAATATAAATTAGATCCCTTTAGAAGTTAATTTAAGTTAATGGTAAACAGGTTTATGTACGCTCCACATGACAGCTGCACCATATTTGATCCAGGCAGACAGAAGCACCGAGCAGATGAACAGAGCGGTCAGACCTCTAGATATGATATTTGTACAGTATCATTTAAATGCATTCACATCTGAGGGGTGCAGTGTGTGTGTGTGTGTGTGTGTCAGGCAGCATCACTGGTCTTTCTCATGCATCTGTTGTTGCATCTTTTCCAGCATCTCCTGCATCCTCTTCAGCTGAACAAACAAAACACAGTCAGAAACATGTCATTGCAACTTTAAACTCAAATGCACAATAGCAATATTAGCATGCTTTTTTATTATCCTCATTACCCTGATGGTAACACTTTACTTGCAGGGCTGTGCATAAGACTGACACGACACCTTCATAACCACGAACTATAGCACATATCTCTGTGATGCTTTAAAGAGGACCTATTACGCCCTTTTACAAAGTCTTGATGTTGTTTTTGGGGCTCTACTAGATAACTATATTCTTATATTGTTGACTTCGGGACTCAAACAGCAACATTACACACTAAAGAAAGTAGAAAATATTAAAAAAAAAGCATAATAGGATATGCCCTTTTTATACCTCTTCATCCTTCATCTTTATGAGTCTCTCGGTCTCTCCGTCTGGTGTTGGCAGAGGCAGGATGGGTAGCGGACTATCCGTACGGTTATCCTGTGCAAGTTTACTGAAACACACACACACACAAGTCTCATATTAACTCCATCTAGGCTGGAAAGAAAAGCATCAGAGCCTTAGAGCCAGTGTTTTGCTTCCCTATTATATTTATTATGTTATATTATATTATATTATATTATATATTATATTATATTATATTATATTATATTACATTATATTATATTATATTATATTATATTATATTATATTATATTATATTTAGGGATGCACCGATCCACATTTTTTCACTTCCGATCCGATCCCGATACCTGACTTTGGATATCGGCCGATACTGATACTTTTCCGATACCAGACCTGTGTTTGCTTTAACATTATTTATCATTATTGTTGATTTTATATGATGCTGAAATAAACACCTCTCTACAAGCAAGGATGATACGTACGTATGTAGCCTATGTCATTATATATATATATATATATAATAGATATATTAAACAATAGACAGACAATTAAACAAAGATATACGCATTATACAGGCCTACACAGTGCTTTAATTTCAGGAAGGTCTACTAACATTATTCAGGTATATCGTCTAAAAAGAATTATAATAAAGTAATCAAAAGTAAAATAGCACTGCAAAGTTTATCATAGATAGATTTATGCTTATTAAAGCTGAAGTTATTCATTCAAGAGCTGTGAGTTATTTTCTCTTTGCCTTTTGTTGTTTGATTCGCAGTAATGTCGCAATCGTCACATTTATACTGCTGCCCCTTTAAGAACTAGTGCGGATTTCATAGTCTACTGATGCACCATATTTTCTCCCAACTATTTCCATAAACCGTTTATGTCTAAAATGAACGTAGTTAAGTGATAATCTCCAAGCCGGTCGTTTTGACATTTTTGTGCAGGCTACATTTGATCGTTTAGACGCGCATATGAAGCCCAAAGTATAATTTGCTTGTCTGTTTCGGAGCGCGCGCCGCCCTCTTGCGCAACTTTTGTGCTTTTAATAGCTCTTTTTATTATTAAAAGCGTCCCGCAATTTAGCAACAGCAGAGACGGCATTTTACAACAATTACCGATCGTGCTGATTCTGTCTAAAAGTTTGAGTTTTACGGAGAAATGACGATGGGAAGGAAGTTGGCTACACAGAATGCGGCTATTGTTTAATGTTTTTTTTTTTTTTACCTCAATATATTCTTTAATCTTTGGAAATCAGACTAATATCACAGATCTAAAGTGTAACCAGGCTATGTTTTCTCTGTCGTCACTCATTAAGCAGGGCTGTCGTGTTGTGCGTGCTGTGGCACCGCGTGAGAGATCTCTCTCTTTCTCTTCTGGACTGCGAATTGCAAACATGCATCACAGACAAATAGTTTAATTTATACGGCTTTGCAAACATTGCATTTTGCTGTCTTGCTCTGCTGCGGTGTTTCCAGTGTGAAGTATTTCCACCATAGGATTTCCACACAGCGAACATATTGGTAGCTCAATGCTATCCTGCTAGCTGGCTGCAAACTGCGGAATGGATATCTTGAGCGGGCGTCTGTGTGTTTCATTGAGCCCTATTTTTTACAGTCTATGATTGAGCTGCACCTCCGTTCAGGATATCCATTACTCAGTTTGCAGCCAGCTAGGCTAGCAGACTAGCAGCCCCGGGGAATCCCTTTTGGAGTCATTTCAGCAGCCAACGTTAAAGCGCAGACATGGATCATAAATATCGGATTTCTCCGCAGGTTGGATCGGAAAAATCCGATACGTGAATTACGCTGGTATCGGTCCCGATACCGATACTGGATCGGATCGGCCCCATCCCTAATTATATTATATAGAGCCAGACCGATATATCGGCCAGCCGATATTATCGGCCGATTTTAGGCAATTTCCATAATATCGGTATCGGAAGTTATAAATGGCCGATAAATGAATATTTAAAAAATAAAATAAAAATAGACGAAACACGCATTAATCATCTCTCCTTGGCCTGTTATATTGAAAATGTATGTTTTACAATTTGCAGTATGATGTTATCTATTGCTAAATTATGGCTCATCATAGACTAGCTAACCACAAAGCTAGCTAACGCCACTATCATCAGTGGAAGACCGCTAACGTTAACATTAATGAGCTTGGAAACCAAAATGAACTTTTTCTGCCTAAATAAAGTAATTATTACTGTATTTATAACTAGCATATCTCTAGTTACAGTCCCTGCATTGTAAAATGTAAGTTAGACTTGCGAGGAGTAAACATTTAGACATAGAGAAAAAGTATCAAACGTATCTTGTGCAGAAAAGTTAGCTTTTCTTTTACACGTGTGTGAAATTCAACAATATTTAATAAAAAAAAAAAATAGCATCTGATATATCGGAATATCGGATTTTAAAACCCCAAAATATTTGTATCGGTATCGGCCTTCAAAATCCTTTATCGGTCGGGCTCTAATATTATATTATATTATATTATATCCCCATTACATTGACATGAATCAGTCTGTGAATGTTCCACACACCTGGTCATCTCCTGGATGCAGTTGGCTCTGTAGTTTTCGTAGTGCACGTCGCACGTCACGTCTTTCAGGTCGTGCATGTGAGAGCGAATCAGCATGTTTCGCAGTTTCACAAAGTCACAGTGAGACTGATTCTCCACTGAACAAAACACACAAAGAGTTCATGAACACAAACACTTCTGAAACATAGTTTTAAACATGCTGATTCTCATTTACAGGTTTGAAAGTGTGTATTGAAAACCAGCATTACACACCATTCCTCTTGGGTTTTATGCAAAGAAAAAAAAATGATATTATATTATATGGCGTTTACAATTACATTTATGGATTTAGCTGCTTTCATCCGAAGCGATTTACAACAGAAGAACTGAGTGGGTCACAGAGCCAACAATACATTTTTGAGACACATAAAATATTGATTCATGCACAGACAAGCACTAAAAGGCCTGAAAAAACTGCATGTGTATGTGAGCTTAAAGTTTAAACTGTAAAAAATATTTAAAAAAATTGCATATTTCATCACTGGAAAATGTGTCAAAACACAGGCTGAAACAGATATACATATTTGAGAAGATGACTGCGGATTTGCAGTTTAAATCTGACATTTTTCGACAGTGGTGGGCATTAATTAAAAATTTGCTGGAAATAAATAGACTTGATATATGTTAATTTATGAATAAAGCAGACAGTGTACTGGTATGCGGTGTATTCTTTGAAGTGCTGTCAAGGGCTTGTGTATTTTCTTTTTTTTTTTTTTAAAGTTTTTATTGATTATTTTTTTTATTGATTATTTATTTTTTATTTATTTTTTTCTCTGTATAAGAAAAGTTCAATAAAAACATAGATAAAAAAAAACACTATTGCATTCCCACAATTGCCACAAGGGGTGCTATATCTGCGTTTGGGTATTTACTGTATAAGAATACAGACCTTCCACGATACCCCAGGGGTAAAGACGACCTCTGACCCTCTGACCTCTGGCCTCCACCACTGCATTACTGCCAATGACAGCAAAGGGAGTGCACTCCTACAGCACACACACACACACACACACACACACATAGATCATTCAATGTTCATTACATAAGACCTGGTATTCTCTTATATCTCAATCAATACACCTTTTGCATTAAAGTAAAAGTAAAAAGACCATAATATGGGTAAAATCAGTCAAAATGGATTCAAATTCATTCAAATCATTTTGCAAAAAAATGATATTTAGGAGATGAGACTTATGAGATGTGTTTCCCATACCTTCAGCTCTTTGTCCATCTGTTTGAACTCCTCCTCTTCATCAGAGTCACACTCAGGAAACTGATACACTTTAATCCCGAAGCGCTCGATCTCGTCTCGAA